CCTGGTTCACTTTAAGGGAATGTCTATTTAATGTCAATGGTACGTCTGGTTCACGTAAACGAAATGTTTACTTGCAGTATCCAAAGTCAATCGTCCATTTGGTTCACATAGATAAAATGCCGATTTGCGGTATCCAAAATCAATGGTACGCTTACTTCTGGTTCACTTAAATGAAATGTTTATTTGCAGTATTCAAACTCAGTGGTATATTTGGTTCACATAAATTGCCGTAATTGTCTACTGCTTGCAGCATCATAAGTCAATGGTTCATTAGATTCACATAAATGGAATGCATATTTGCAGTATACAAAGTTAATGGTATCTTTGGTTAAAATTAATGGAATTCATATTTGCAGTACCTAACCTATTCAAAGTCTGCATTAATGGTACGTCTAGTTTGCGTGCAGTATCCTAACTAAATGGTAGGCCTATATTTAAATCACTTAATGGAATGGCTATTTGGAGTATTTAAAGTTAATGTTGGAGCATTATAATTCAGGCGACCTTAATTATTAGTAGGATTCATTTTGTAGTAAATTATGCTCCATGTTATTAATCCGATTGTTCTTTTCTTTTTATCTGTACGGTATTTGTAATGAGCTATTTTAAATGATTCGTTGACTAACATATGATGTTATTCTTGTTTTATCAATTAGTTGTACATTTAAATCAACCTATGAAGTATCTTGTGATTCTAGAGAAATAGTAGACCTTAGAAACCGACGTTTTAAACTCCAATACTACATTCTAAAACCCCTGGTTTCTCCCTGGCAACCCCCAACTAATAATAACTAACTCATAGAGTACTCGTTAATTTGGCAACCTAATGATTGAATTCCTTATACATAGGTACCCAATGATTTACTTCAAGATGTCCTGGAATCGACGAGGGTAAATTTACGTTTTTGTCATACTCGTTTCTGAAACTCCTTGGACAAAATTATGGAAATTTCCCACAAACTATATGTTGTGCCTGATTTTATTGATAATTTCATGGATAAGTTATTGTTTATCTATCTATACTATTATAAAAAAGAGGTGGTTGCTGTATGTGTGTATGTGTGTATGGGAAAAGTAAACTCGAAAAATACTGGTCGGATTGGGCTGAAATTTGGCATGATGATAGCTCACATTCCCGATTAACATATAGGCATATTCTTATTTCAAAAATCCTTTCGGGCTCTGCCCCAGTGGCTCTGGAGTTTCCCATGTTAACCTTATGAGAAATGGAATTATTGAATCTTAACAGCTGTTTCAATTAAACAAGTTGGTTCTGTTCTATGATGTTCAATAGCATTAAAGTTACAAGGATTACCAACAGGGTACAGCACTATTATTTCTTTTACATTTATGACAACAGCTAATTTGCAACCAAAAGGTGAGTGAGCGTAGCGAACGAACTTCAACCTGGAGGCGAGTTAGCGTAGCGAACGAGCTAACCTGAAGGCAAGTGAGCGCAGCGAACGAGCTCCAACCTAAAGGTGAGTGAGCGTAGCGAACGAGCTCCAACCTAAAGGTGAGTGAGCGTAGCGAACGAGCTCCAACCTAAAGGTGAGTGAGCGTAGCGAACAAACTTCAACCAGGACGTGATTGAGCCATGCGAACGAGATAATCTTGAAAATTAAGAAGTTAAACGGGGCAAAGCCCGCGGGTTACAGCTAGTTTTTGTATAAAATACGAATAAAGAAGTTATTTTGAACTCATATACACGTTAAACATGAAATTCGCTTTCGAATCTTTTAAATAAGTTTTAATTGTATCAGTTTTGTTTTTCTGTGTGTGCGTGTGAGAGAGAAAATAAAGTAGGATAGTTTAGTGAACACTCGTCTATCTCCCACACGAACAAAAGTTTCCCTGAGAAGCGAGAGACAGGTGATTACAAATAGACTCATTAAACTTACCGATAACCACATACGTCCTATCTGCTTCGCGGAAAGATCACATGCGTTAACAGTATAATATAATACCCCCGCCGCAGCAAACCTGCAGACTAAGCGAATTTCCATGTCTGATTGGATTTACACTAAAATGTCTACTTAAAAATGTAACATTTATTTCCTATTTAAATAGAATTATTTTAACAGGTACTTAGGTTTGCTGCATCAGGGAGGGTAAAACTTTTTTTTGTAAAATGTTAATAGTTAGTAAGAAATAAAAACATTTTCCAAATTTGATCAAAATATGTTCATAAACAAGCAAACTACAACAGTTTACTCATTCTTCATAAGAATAACATGGGAATTTAAAATTTACATTTTTTTGGAATTTTCTCCGTAACCATTAGGCGCATAGTAACACTTCAATATACTAAATTATTTGTTTTTTTAAGCTCTACAAAATGGTTTGAAAAGATTTTGCTAAATTTTATTTTTTTGGGTCAAAAATGGGAAAAACCTATTTTTACCCCATAAAACCCCCTGTAAACCCCCGTTCCCATAGTCCGATCATGCTGGTTCGCGAACTCGTTCGAGTTTATCCCGCCTTACACCTTCAAACCAAAATTTATCAAAATCGGACAAAAATTACTCAAGTTATCGTGCGGATGGACACACACACATATATATATATATATATATATATATATATATATATATATATATATATATATATAGATATATAAAAATTTGAACGAATGGTGTTTTTGGCCTCTGGGGACATCAAAATGAAAAATTAAATCGGTCCCGGGCCTAGGTCTTACCATGAGACCTACGGTAATAGCTACTTCCCTATAGGGAAATTCGCTAAAAAGATATTTTAACGAGCCAATTAGTTTAACTGTCATAACAAATTAAAATAACTTGTATTTCCTGATTATATAGAATTAGTAAGATCGTAAAACTATATTTCTTTACAGTTGAAAAGTGTAGTTAGCAATACCTTTTAAGGCTGAATTTTTATTGTTTTACAACTTACCAGAAACAATGAATTTCGAGAATAAAGTTTAGAGAAAACTATTAAGGTTAATATTTGCTTCAATCAATGGAATACAACTGTTAGGTAATTTTAATAAAATCTGATAAATAAAATTTCTGTTCTTTTTTTATTACATTTATTTTAACACCAAAAAACCAGCTGACCAAATTATTATTAAATTAGACTGAATCATTGTTCCATTGCATACTAAATATTCATTCAGCTTAAAATATTATACTATAACAAAACTATTTAACATTTCTCCGGGCCACAACATTTTAAACATTAAGTTTTATAATTTTGCTAGTAGGTCTTCTGAAAATCCCTGTAGTAGTTCGCACATCAACAACTCTGACTTTGCCGTCTTTGCCAGGATAGGTTGCTTCTATAATGCCTTTTGACCACATGCCTCTTGGTTCTTTGTCGTCAGCAATTAGGACCATGTTGCCCACATGTAGATTTTCTTGATGAATATGCCACTTAACTCGTTTGTTGAGCAGAGGAATGTACTCGTGTTGCCATCTTTTCCAAAACGAATCAGCATATTTCTGAGCTATTTTCCACTGCTTCACAAGGCATTTGTCTCTTATGTTGACCACTGGAGCAACTTTGTTGGCGCCACCGAGTAGAAAATGATTTGGAGTCAAAGGTAGCTCATCGGCAGGATCTTCAGACACAGGATACAAAGGTCTATTATTGACTATGTATTCAACCTCACACATGACAGTTAATAAAGTTTCTTCTCTTGGAGCTTGTGAATGCAAGATTACATTCAAACATTTCTTTACTGATTGAACAAGCCGCTCATGCGCTCCTCCCATATGTGGGCTGGCAGGTGGAAGAAAGCTCCTCTTCATCTTCATCTCTGAGCAAAAAGTTTTAATCTTTTCTTCATCAAATGTCAGTAAAGCTTCTCTTAGCTCTCTTTCTGCTGCCTTAAAGTTTGTTCCATTATCAGATATAATCTCTCTTGGACACCCTCACCTTGCAACAAACCTTCGAAGAGCTAATATGGCTGAATCTGTGTTGAGTGAGGCAGCAATTTCAAGGTGGATTGCCCGTACTGAAAGACAAGTGAACAGAACTCCGTAGCGTTTTTCGTGTCGACGACCCACTTTAACTTCTAAGGGCCCAAAATAGTCAAGTGCCACACATGTAAAAGGTCTTCCAAAAGGTTCTAGCCTGTAAGCAGGCAAAGGGGCCATTTCAGGTGTCTTGGGTAACATTTTGCGCAATTGGCACTTTTTACAGTTTGCCCAACAACTTTTGATTGCTTGTTTCAGCCGTATTATCCAAAATCTCTGCCTCAAAGTGTTTGCGACTGTTTCTTGTCCTTGGTGAGCTGCGTTTTAGTGTTCTTTGTGAATCAATAACACTGTTAGTCGTTGCTTTGGATCCAAGATGATCGGAGTCTTGACATCTTGACTAACAACCTTTCCATACTCAGTTCTCCCTTTCATTTTCAATAAGTCTTCTGCTAGGACTGGACTTAGCTTTGAAAGGCGTCTTTGACGTGGTAGAGGTTTTCCTGCTTTTAAACTACATAAATCATGAGAAAATGTTTCTTTTTGTGATAACTGAAAGCATAGTTTTTCAGCTCGTTCAAGTTCTTCTACTGATAAACTGGATTGTTTAGTTGTCTCAGCTTGACTTCTTTTGGCGTTGCAGTTGCTGATAAAACGTAGCACCCAAGCTGCTGTTCTTACCAGCCTAGAGTATTTGGAAAATCTCTCCATGTCAATGAGAGGCTTTTCGTCATTCTTAACAGAATTAAACAGCATCAAATCCGTGTTTTCAAGTTCCTTGGACTGATCTTCGATCTTAGGCCACATTTCCTTTTGCTCGTACAGAAATTCCGGTCCTCTAAACCATTGACCATTATTATCAGACAGTATGGATGTAGAGTCTCGTGTTGCACTATCAGCTACATTTTTCGAACTAGGAAGCCATCTCCACTGTTTTGAGTCCGATAATTGCATAATTTCGTTAACACGATTAGAAATATACACAGACTTTTGCTTGTTTCTTGATTGCAGCCAGCACCAAACTATTCTCGAATCTGTCCAAAAATATGTTGTGAGAACTTCTTAATGAGCCTGAAGAATGAGGTTCGCAATTCGACTACCCAAAACTGCTGCTTGAAGTTCAAGTCGTGGTATGGTCGTTTCACGTATAGGAGCCACTCTTGACTTTGCAAAAACAAATGCAACATTTACTAGGTCTTGTTTTTCTATTCTTAAATATGCTACTGCACAATAGTCCTGCTTACTAGCATCACAAAATACATGTAACTGTACTGATTCACCTCCTGTTAAACCATAACAACGTGGTATCTTTAGGCGTTCGGCATTCAACACATCTTCTATCCAGGACAGCCACAAGTTGTTTAAAGTTACTGGTATTTTTTCATCCCACTGAACATTCACCTTCCATAGTTCTTGCATCAGTATTTTCCCTTTCATCGTTATTGGTGTGATGAAACCTAGTGGATCGTATACTGACATCACTGCTTGTAGCACTTCTCGCTTTGTAGGTAATCGCAAGAGACTGACTACATCTTTGTCAACTCTTACAAAATCCGTTTTAAAGTTGAAACTATCCTCATGAAAGTTCCAATACAGACCCAAGACCCTTTCTACATTATTTTCGTCACTCAACTTCAGGTTATCATTCAAGTAGTTTTTCGACCAACTTTCTTTAGGTAATGCATTCATAAATTCTTGAGAATTGCTGATGAAGTTTCTCAAATTGAAACCTCCTTTGTTACAAATGGAAACAACTTCTTTGGTCAAACTTTTAGCTTCATCAACACTTTCCATACTATCTAAGTAATCGTCCATGTAAAATTGCTCTTTAATAGCTTGCACAGCTTCTTGATGACTATCACCATTTTTCTCAGCATTGGTTTGAAGGACATAAATTGCACAAGTAGGAGAGCATGCAGCTCCGAAAATCAATGATGCCATGCACCAATCTTCTACTCTTCCACTTTCTTCTCCCCGCCACAGAAATCTTAAAGCATCTTGATCTTCACGTCTTACTTTAATCCTCAAAAACATCTCTTCAATGTCAGCAGCAATGGCAATTTTGTGCTTTCTAAATTTAAACAAGATTTCCGTAAGGTTGTTAAATAGATTGGGTCCTGGTAGCAAGTAGCTGTTTAAGCTTTGACCATGTGATCTTGAAGCTGCATAAAAAACAAATCGAAATTTGTTTGGTTTTCTTGGGTTGTCAACAGAAAAATGCGGAAGATACCAAGTCTTGTCATTTTTGAGTTGAACTTCTTCTACGCTTAGTTTTCGTGAGTAGCCCTTCTGAGCGTAGTTTTCCATCTGGTCATCGTATAGCCGTTTCATTATAATATTATCTTTCAGTTTCTTCTCTACGGTATTCAATCGACGCCACGCTACAGAGCGACTTTCTGGTAGTTGAGGATTTTCTTCTCTCCATAGCAAACCGATTTCCCAGCGCCCGTCTTCTGTTTGTGAGCACGTACTTTTCATTATCACTTCCGATCTGACCTCTTCTTCACTTTTTGAAATATTGTTGCTTGGATAATCAATGAAGTCCTGTTCAAAGCTTTTTTTGATCATTGAATTCATTTCTTCCATTTCGATTTTCATATCGCTTTTGAACATCACATATTCTTGATTAATTCTACTGTGATATTGCTCTTTTCCAGTAGGGCCATTGATTGTCCAGCCAAGCTTTGATTTAAGTCCTATTGGGGCATTTCCAGGTCCAATGACAACTTTTGAGGGCACGGTATAGTGAATGTGTTCATGACCAATTAGCAGTCGGGGCCGGCCACGATGAAATGCCTTTTCAGAAATTTGTTGTAAATGAGGCCATTTTGACTTAACTTTCTTCATATTCATGGACTGAACGGGTAACTGTAAATCTTTCAAAGTTTTTACATTACCAAGAACAAATTGTTCTCCTTCATCGTTGACAATCTTTACTGAAACCGTTTTTGAAAGGTTTTCAGTGCATGTTGACCCATCAGTCCAAGAAAATGATACTGGTATCGTTGGTCCATCAAGATTGAGTTCATCTGCCAAACTTTTTTCTATGACTGATATTGTAGATCCATCATCAATCAATGCAAATGTGTTTACTTCATTTCCCTTACTTCCGATCAATTTTAATGGAATGACTCGTAATAGTACTCTATCAAGCGACTCATCTTGATATCCAATATGCTCCTTATTAGACCCAGCAATTGTCGGAGCCTCAATTACATCCATGACTTCATTTTTCTTATCTTGTTTAATATTGTTATGCAGCAAATTGTGGTGATGATAAACACATCCATTCAATCCACAAACTCCTTTTTTACGACATTGTGTTGCTCTGTGACCTATCTTCAAACAGTTAAAGCAAACCTTATTATTTTTCACCAGTTCCCAACGGCTTTGTACATCATTTTTCTGAAAATATTTACAATCTTCTAAACTATGGCTGTCTTTTTTACAACAGAGGCACAGTCTTTTCCTTAACCTTTTCTCTCTATCTTCGTGCATAAGTACAACATTCTTCTGACCAGACTCGTATCTTCCTGAGCCTTTGTTGATGTTTCCAGCAAAGGAAACAGAAGTAGAAGTACAAACTGTAGCTGCTTCTGCCACTGATGACAGCCATACTGAGAAACTATCTAGCCCTATTGGTTTCCTTACCTCAGATTGCTGGGACATGACATACATTCCCCAGTTTAGTTTCATATTAGTAGACAATTTGTCTGTAAGCTCTTCTAAAAGCTGTGGATTAAACAGATAATGCTCTTGATTAAGAGACTTAACAGTTACTACAAGATTACGCACCATGTCACTAAATGCTATCAAAGTATCAGGTTTGTAATCTTTTGTTGGAGGCTTGTTTCTCACACTTTCTATTAAGCTCTTAATTATTACTTCTGGACGTCCAAAGCGACGTTCTAACAAATTTATGATCTCTGAAACATTTTCCGGATAAATTAAAAGTGCAGAAACAATTTCTTTTGCCTTACCATTCAATGATTTTTGTAGTCTCTGAAGATTTTCGAGATCAGTGTAGTTGTTTATGTCAGTAGAGCGTTTAAACTCAGCAATCCAAGCCGGCCACTGACTGAGATCTCCACTAAAATCTGGGAGAACAGACAAAACCCTAGCACGGACCTCTTTCCCATTTGTTTAGAGCAGATTTGTTAAGGTATTTTCATCTCGAGGCTTTTCATATCTAACATCTCGAGGCCTTACACCAAACTGCTCAAATTGGTCTGGAAAATGTTTTTGGTACTGCATCATTTTAGAAACACTTACTGGTTTATTTGCCCAAGGCTTAAACTGTTCATCTTGAGCGTTTGTATTTGGTATTTTGGATGTACTCACCGACTTGTTGGCCCTAGGCTTTGGCTGATCATCTAGATGGCCATCAGCCGGCTCATCCCTTACCCTCACAGTGTTGTAATTCTGTGCTTGATCATCAGGAATCATTTCATTTTCAATACCTTGCATCCAAAAGGTAACAGCTTCTTTCGTTGGTATAGGTTGATCAATTGACACGAGAGAACGCCTGGAAGTGCTACTACCTCTTGAGGACGATCTAGAATTGATTAGTGATAGTCTTTCTTCCATGAGTCTTTTCTTCAATTCTAACTCCTTTCTTTTAGCTTCTTCCTTTACTCTAGCTTCTTCTCTTTTTGCTTCTGCATTAGCTTCTGCACGTGCTATTGTGATAGCTGTTTCCTCTTCCTGAATCTTAATGAGTTCATTCATAACATCAGCGACTTCTCTGTTCCTCCTGCTGCTACTTTTACTTTTATTGGATCTTCTATCAGAAGAAGGAAAGGATAGTGCACTTTTTGCAGAGACATCAAGGCCAACTTTTTCAACTTCTGCACTGTCCTTTTTCTCTTCTCTTTTTGTACAGGATCTTGTAGTCATACGAGATAATGGTTCTTTATTTGACATGATTCGACGGGTTTTCGGCACCAAATGTTAGGTAATTTTAATAAAATCTGATAAATAAAATTTCTGTTCTTTTTTTATTACATTTATTTTAACACCAAAAAACCAGCTGACCAAATTATTATTAAATTAGACTGAATCATTGTTCCATTGCATACTAAATATTCATTCAGCTTAAAATATTATACTATAACAAAACTATTTAACAACAACTTTGCCAGTGAAATTGAGTGCTACATGTAAGTAATCAGTAATGTATGGGATATTGACCACCATTTAAAGTGGTTGGATAAACTTTAATTTTTTTTTAGCTAGAGAAAATTTGTAAACGATAGTGTACTGAAGGGACGACAGACATTATTTAACATTTATCAGGGTGAGTTTTAATTGTCCCCCCCCCAACTTTTTTCTACATTTTTTCAAATATCAATCCCAGACCACTTCCAAACATTGTTGGGTAGTAAGTACTTCATTTTGACAAGGTGGCCATTTCCGGCCGCCATCTTGGATCCGCCATATTGGATGCAAAATTTTTTTTTCAAATGTAAAGGTGGGGTTGTGACCCATTATTTCGAACAACATTTTTACCTTGATTACAATGCCGCAAACCGTTCAAAAAAATCTTGATTCATTCTAAAGTTATGAGGGCTTTTTAAAACTTTATTTTTAGCCCATTTTAACATTGTGCATTTACAAACTAAGACCATAATCTCAAAATAGTGCTAGATAAAGATAAGTATACACTACCAGTAATTGTCGACCAATTTTCACTTGGTTATGACTGATGTATTTTTTTCGGCCGCCATCTTGGATCCGCCATTTTGAAATGTGATAAATTATTTTAAATATAAAGGGGGCGTTGTGACCCATCATTTCGAACTACTTTTTTAAGCTGAACTTAATTCCATGATCCGTTTTTCATTTTCATTTTTTGATTTTGAAATATTGACATTTTTAACAAAAAAATTTCAATATTTCATAAATAAAACTTGATAACAAAAAATGGATTGCGGCATTGTCTTCAGCTTAAAAAAGTAGTTCGAAATGATGGGTCACAACACCCCCTTCATATTTAAAATAATTTATCACATTTCAAAATGGCGGATCCAAGATGGCGGCCGAAAAAAATACATCAGTCATAACCAAGTGAAAATAGGTCGACAATTACTGGTAGTGTATACTTATCTTTATCTAGCACTATTTTGAGATTATGGTCTTAGTTTGTAAATGCACAATGTTAAAATGGGCTAAAAATAAAGTTTTAAAAAGCCCTCATAACTTTAGAATGAATCAAGATTTTTTTAAACGGTTTGCGGCATTGTAATCAGGTTAAAAATGTAGTTCGAAATAATGGGTCCAACTCCACCTTTACATTTGAAAAAAAAAATTTTATCCAATATGGCGGATCCAAGATGGCGGCCGGAAATGGCCACCTTGTCAAAATGAAGTACTTACTACCCAACAATGTTTGGAAGTGGTCTGGGATTGATATTTGAAAAAATGTAGAAAAAAGTTGGGGGGGGGACAATTAAAACTCACCCTGTATATTAGTGCTATAAATTCTAGTTTGTCATTATTTTATGGATATTATAATCTTCGAAGGTGGTAAACATTTCTATGCTATTCACATGAGGAACAAAAAAACTTCCTAAAAATATACACTTATTATGTATTTATAATTCAACATGTGTATAGATCTGTATTTTCGCCACATTTCTTTTGCGAACTAGGCTGTTACGGTAAAAATAGTTGGTTTAATACCTAGAATATACATTTACGTTGTTTTACGACATGTAATAAGTTTATTATTTTATTACCATTACCATGGCCATTGCAAGCTTTTCAAGAACCAACCTTAGAGATTCAAAATAGTACACTGAAAAGGTCCAGAGACGGGTAAATATTTCAAACAATAATAAAGAGAGAGTTATAAACTTTGAACAAAGTACTGAACATAAAGATTATTTTGACTCATATTTAATGATACACTACCTCCTCAGAGAACGGCCTACTAAAAGTCAGTATATTACTTAAATTTGTGTACTAATTATTGATATGTACATTGTAGATCAACCAAAAAGTATTTTATAGTAAACATTCACTTCCTCCGAACTCAAACAAACACGTTTAAACGTTTTATATCAAATATTAAATACTCAACTTTCATGTTTCATTTGAATGGAAAGGCAACTGTTTTTACAATGTTTCAAAAATGTATAATCTCATTCAATCTAATTAATTATTACAACATCAATTACACATAACACATTTATTATAAAGGATACCTGCTATTATTCATTTTTTAATTGTTGCAGACGAGTACAAGTATTACTTGGAATGTAATAATGGTCCATATCAATTGGGAACCAAGCCTCTTAAGTCAAAAATATGCCTCTGTCGCCATATAACCAAGTAAGACTGTTGCCTTATTTTATTTGCTGGGATAGTAAAGTTAATGGTTTCACCTAAGAAAAGCTGTAAAGGGCATTTTAACCAAAAGAATAAATTATAATTTGTAAAATTATAATAATTATAATAATTTGTAAAATTATAATAACCTTGAATTGGAGTGATTTGTTCAGCGTCCTACAATCTGAGGAAACCCCGATTTGGCAGGATACTACCGTGAACACTATTTTAGCTGTTAGTGAAGTGTTTGAGAGTAATAAGCTGAATCAAATTATTCCTACCCACACTCTGCATCGTTTTACCTTATTTCTTCAATATTAGTCGAGCATCTTTATCTGTAGCTTACTATAAAAATAACAATAAAACTGTGAACAATATTCTATATTAATATATTTTACTACATCTCTTTAACAATAACCCTCCTTCTAAATAATACACATAACATTTCCACAATAAAAATAAAGCACCAAAAACCTTCAAGTTAATAAACAAATATTTTTAATTTTATCGCCTATATGTTCAATTATATTAATTAAATAATTTCAACTTTTGAAGCAAGTAAGGCTTAGCCCGTTTGAAATCGGCCTGTAGGACAGAGTACAGAGTACATAGAAAATTCGTTGAAACCAATACGTGTCGGCAAGTATACACACTATAAGCTTCATTTGGAGGTGACACATGCTTATAAATTTATTTGGTCAAAAGGCGTTAACCACAAATTTGACCGTATCACTCTAATATAAAAGATTGTTTTGTTTAAATATTTAAAACTAAGTATGTTACAAACACATGATCTTTTGTAAACACTTTAAGTTATTTCGTGGGTTGAGTGAGGTAAACAGGTATTATATCTAACTGTAGATATTACCATCGTAATTCTACGTTTACAACATTATTTTTACACCAATAAAAGGTTAAACAAATAGTTTTATGGAAAAAAACTAATAGCAAAAAATATTGGGTAAGTCAGTTGAAATAAACAATTATAATTTTGGAGCAGTCAAACACCATTTATTGGCTTGAGTCATAAAAGTCTTAAATTTGTGTACAAGAAAACAACAAAGAGTGCAAAAACAACAATAACGCAGTTCCAAGGACGGGGTACATAGCCAAGACTGACAGTTTATGATAGTGCTAGTGTTGGGGTTGGCGTTGTGTTTGTGTTACTCTGAACTACTTTTGAACTGTCAGCATGGTTATATTGATAAATTTTGTGACTAATAAATGTAATAACATGATATTAAAAAAAGAAATTATAAATATATAGCTTCCTTCAACGCTTTTTAACATTAAGTTTGTAATTATTTACTTGGTTATTACTAAAAAACTAACCTTATTCATTGGGGAACATGTTTTGATTAATGCTGTGTAAAATATACCTCATCAGTCTAAGGATTGTTTTAAACTAAAAAGGCAATCCCCACTCCACGATTAATTAATTACATTTTCAAAATAAGAAATCTAGTGGTTGAAGGATGTTTTTCAATTCATACATTGATTGAACTCCGAATATATTAAGAGTCAATTAATGGGACTGTCCTCAATTAATATGCATAAACAGCGTACAATAAAATTCAAATGGTGATATTTCCTATTTTATAAAACCAGTAAAATACATCTTAGCCCCATTGTGGGTTCTACTATTGTACACTTTAAGTTTTTTTTGGGACAGGGGTGGTTCTGTGGACATTTAATAAAATATTCGACAAATGTGGTTGATTCAGAATGATTAGATTCTTAAAATACTCATAAACGACTGTTGACCTAATGGTACAGTTGACTCAGTTAAACAGATCTAGTATTTTATCGTATTTATTCATATTAAAACTGGTGTTGCATTAGATCAAAATCCCAAATGGTCAATCGCTTTAACAAAGACTACGTTTTTAGCACTGACTTTATTATTTTACTCAATGGGATGTGAGTATTTGTAAATGGTTCGCAAATGTTATTATCATAGAACAAAAATACGCCTAAAATAAACTTAAGGGGTATGAATTTTCCAAAGGGTTGATATACTTATATCTCAACGGTTTTGGAGACTTGTGCTATGTTTATTTTACTCAAATCAAACGAGACAATTTAGGCTATATGACAAAATTCCAGACAATATTTTTGGAAAAATATTTTCTTAATATTATTAACATTTGATATATTATTAAAATATTATTTAAAAAACACCCAATTGTACTGTCACGAGTTTATTTTACCTGTTCCTGCACAGAAGAGCAGTAACTTGCGGCGCGACGATACCACTTGATGGTTATTGTGCTATGAATAACTGACATTCTCTGGATGAGCCTCACGTATTCCTGAAACTACAGTCGTACTATGTAGTACAAGAAATGTGAGTTTAATAAAATGGTAAATGCGGTAAATGTTTTTGTACGACGATTCGTTTGATACATTGGATACGCCCTTTAGAAAAAACCCAACAACCAAGATAAAATTTGTATTTTTTGTAATAAATGCGACTTATTTTTACGGCAATTGATTTATATCAAACCAGCGAAAACTGTTGGAATTAATAAGTAAATGAGATTACTGAAATTTGGTGCGCATACTATTGTAATCCTTTAAAAAATAATTATATT